CTGTCACACACAATACAGAATGCTTCACAACCCCAGCTCCCAGGCTTTAAGTGACAATAGTCCTTGTGACAAGCAAAAATGCCCTTGTAGACATTTCCAAACACCAACTGGAAATTGTGTGTGTGTGTGTGTGTGTGTGTGTGTGTGTGTGTGTAAAAGGGATGAGGTAGCCTTTCTGGCTCAGAATGACTGGATACCACTGAAAGATCCAGATGACAGTCAAAAGCAGGGACAGGCAAAGGGAGGTGTTCAGATGTTGTTCCCCTGTTCTTGTTGCCCTGTCCCCTCCCTCACTGAGCACAGGAGGCACATGTTAAGCTTTGTGGGAGGATGGGGCTGGGTGGAGGTATCCCAAGTAGATGCTCCGTGGGCCCTCACAGGGTGCCTCCTGATTCTCGGAGTGCACCTCTTCCCTTCCTTCCCACTTCTCCCACTTCCCTCCACTCTCAGATTTTGCCCCCTCTGGTATGACCCTCCCAACAGAAGGAATCAAGCCCCAGTTTGTTCAGTCAACATTGCCAACTCCTGGCCCAGCACATGGGGCTTGTTTGGCTAACATGAAGGCTTTATTCTTGTTTCTTAACTTAGTTGCCACACTTTAAAACTAGGAGATTTTATATAAACAGCTGGATTTTCAGTTTTTCTTTAAAAATCAGAAGTTCAAGCATCCAAGTTCATACTTGTATCCCTGTTGCCATTAAAATAAACTTTGTCACTAATACAATCTTCCTCAAATAAGATAATACATGGAGCTTCATCTCTCTAACCTGATTTACATTTCACTTACATTACATGTCTTCCTCCTGATTACTGCCAGTGAGAGGCCCTCTCTACCTATGCGGTTACTGGGGGGGTGTTAAGGGGAGAAGATGGGCCATTCTCAGTTGATTGCCCTCTCACAAGAGCAACTGAATTGTACTGGGGTCAGGGAAATGAGTAAAGAGTCGGGAGATGTGGAATCTGTTCGCTGTGTGATCATGGGCAAGCCACTCTACCTCTTGAGATTAAAAAAAAAAAAAGAGTTGGGTTAAATAATCCATGAGCTCCATTCCATCCCTAAAAGTCACTGATCTTGCAGTTCAGGTACACAGACTCTCCTATGCACGTGCACAGACACACACACACACACACACACACACACACAGATATTGATAATGAAATCATAACCAAGATAATTTCAGGTCAATTCTAAAAGTTAAAAATGTCAATTAACAAAGAATTTTTTAACGAGTTACTGTGTTCGCAACTCTTTAAGATTTCAATCCTTGCTTTTCCCTTCTTCTTCCGAACAAATGAACAAACGCTGTGACCTCCCTTTTATTCACATGCTTATCTCATTTCTTTTAAATGCATATTGCTTGTTTGCTTACTTGTGAGTGCAAGATCTTCTCTCTGAGGATCACTGAGCAAATTCTGGAAAGTTGGGGGAGGAAGTCTGAGGTCTATTCATGTATAAAAGAATGTGTAAAGAAGTCAGGATTGGGGTTTCCCTGCTCATGGCTGGGAGCACTTTCCTCCCATCTTCCTGCTTTGCATTTCTTACAAGTCTTGTTTTTAATATCTAATAAGGAGTTAATATCTAGAATATATAAAGAACTGCAACTCAACAGCAACAATAAAGAAAACAAATAACCTGATTTTTAAAAGGGCAGAGGACTTGAATATACATTTCTCCAAGGAAAATATGCAAAGAAAGCAGAGAAGAAAAAAGGGACACCTGGGTGGCTCAGTGGTTGAGCATCTGCCTTCAGCTCAGGTCGTGATCCGGGGTCCTGGGATCTAGTCCCACATCCGGCTCCCCGCGTGGAGCCTGTTCTCCCTCTGTCTTTGTCTCTGTCTCTCTCTGTGTCTCTCATGAATAAATGAATAAAAACTTCAAAAAAAAAAGAAGGAGAAGAAGAAGAAGAAGAAGGGGAGGAGGAGGAGGAAGAGGAGGAGAAGAGGAGGGAGAGGAAAGAAAAGAAGAAATACAAATGGACAATAAGCACATGAAAGATGCCAATGATTAGGGAAGTGCAAATCAAAACTACAAGGAGGGATCCCTGGGTGGCACAGCGGTTTAGTGCCTGCCTTTAGCCCAGGGCAGGATCCTGGAGACCCAGGATCGAATCCCACGTCAGGCTCCCAGTGTATGGGGCCTGCTTCTCCCTCTGCCTATGTCTTTGCCTCTCTCTCTCTCTGTGTGTGACTATCATAAATAAATAAAAATTAAAAAAAAAAACTACAAGGAGATATCACCTCACACCCATTAGGATAGATGGCTACTATAAGGGGGGAAAAAGCAGAAAATAGCAAATGTTGGCAAGGATGTGGAGAAAATGCAGCCTTTGTGCACTGTTGGTGAGGTTGTAAAATGGTGCCGCTACTATGGAAAAACAGCATGGTAGTTCTTCAAAAAATTAAAAATAGAACTACCATATAACCCAACAATTCTACTTCTGGGCATATACTCCAAAGAATTGAAACTCAGAGATGTTTGTACATGCCTATTCATGATAACCAAAAGGTAGAAGAAACTCAAATGTCCGTTGATGGAAGAATGGATAAACAAAATTTGTAAGTATGTACAATGGAATATTATTCAGCCTCAAAAAGCAAATAAATTCTTATGTCATCTGCACTTCAAATAAAATAATTAATTATTTTTTAAAAAGCAAAGAAATTCTGACACATGCCACAACATGGATGAGCCTTGAAGACTAAGTGAGACAAGCCAGTTACAAATAGAGAAATACTGTAGGATTCCACTCCTCTAAGGTACCTAAAGTAGTCAAATTTGTAGAGACAAAGGGAATGGTGGTGGCCAGGGGCAGAGGGAGGAGTAGGGTTGGGATGAGAAATTGCTATTAATAGGTACAGAGTTTCAATTTTACAAGATGAAAGAGTTCTATGGATGGATGGTGGTGAATACCACTGAACTGTATACTTAAAATAGTGCAGACAGTAAATTCTGTTATGTGCATTTTCCACTATTAAAACTTTTTAGGGGTGCCTGGGTGGCCCAGTCAATTAAGTGTCTGGCTTCGGTTCAAGTCATGATCTCAGGGTCCTGGGATCAAGCAAACATCAGGACTGTCCTCAGCAGGGAGTCTGTTTGTCCCCTCTGTCCCTGCCCCTGCTGGTATTCTCTCTCTCAAATAAATAAAACCTTTAAAAAAAATAAATACAACTCTTTAAACAATAATATTAAATCAAATCAATTGGCTTAACAGTGAAAAAATGTATCAAGTAAACCAAACCATTGTGAGAAAGATAAAATATAGATATGATCACAAATATGAGAGGCAGTAAAAATACTTTAAACAGAGAGCTTCAAGTTCACAACCTCTGCCTGGTGTACCACAGAGTGCATGAGGCTCCTGGATGAGATAGACAAGGAAGAATGAGCATGAGGTAATAGAAGTTCTGGTGCATCAACACAACGGAGATTATGCAATCATAAAAATGTACTTCAATAGAGAGGCAGCTAGTAGGCAGTGGACTTGAGCAATGGAAATTTGACCATGGTGATCCACAGCTGAGCCCAAACAGGCTGGTGAAGTCACCCACCTGGAAATAGCCATAGACCCTAGCTGACCAATGGTCTACTTACATGCAGGCACAGTTATCAGAAAAGGGAAAATTCTATACATTCCCATACCTCCTTCATTCCACCCTGTACCTATAGCCCCTCGCCACCACCTCATGGCAGATAGTCTCTCTCGCTGTCCTGCCCACTGGTCCCTTTCTGTGTATTCAGTAAACTTTTATCTCCTTTGTTCTGACTCGGGTGAAGTCTCTCACCACCTGTGCCACCGGCCTCCATGGATGGGGACACCCCACATTCAAGACTATGTAACATTGTGGAGAAATACTGCTGACATGTTTTGAGAAAACAGCAAAACACAAAATTGAAAGGTGTAATTGAAATGTGCATTCATTACATGTGTGATTAGGCAAGGACAAGATGGGAAAAGACAAAAATGAAATTAGTTCCTTTGTTAGGTAGATTTATTTTTTTTTCTGCTTTGAAAGACATTTTTATTGTTACAATAATATTTATACAACAAATATGAAGATAAAGATAGAGTAGAATGAAAGAGAATTCCCAGTGTTCCTTCTCAGAAAAGGTTTTGCTCCACAAGGTACCAGATCACAATTTCTTAAAGAAGAAATAACTTTATTTGCAGTCTCGGCTACAATGGACCAGTGGAAACAGCTGACCAGAGCTGCCACCTCTTTGACCCACAGCAGAGGCTGCCACACATTTATGTGGCAACACTACATCATGCTCTCCTACTCTGGCTGCTGTAGTTACATTCCCCACGCGATACCTGGTCCTGGAGATCTTTGTGTTTATGACTTTTCCTCAAAAGCTCCAAGCACTTGGGGACAGAACCTATTTCTGTTGCCCTTGCAATGCCTAGTACAGTGCTGCGTTACCACTCAAGTTTCTTGCCAGATGAGTGTTAATTAGATGCAGCCTGCTGAGAGAGACCCTGATGACCCGCTATTATTTTTTGCTAATTGATATATCAAATAATGTTGACGTGCATGAGTACATCCCAGAGGCATGCATAAGAAGGCAGGCGTATAATAATTCCCAAGCGCTGCAGATGCCAGCAAGGTACGAGCTCCAGTGTTTCATGTCTGGATGGTAAGCAATGAACTGGAGGTACAAGAGCACCCCATTTTAGCGTGGTTTGGTGTTGCTTACATGGGTCACTGTATTATGGATCACTCGTGTCCCTGGAAGTCGAACATGTACAGAGAAGAGAAGCCTGTGGATGCTGCCAGCTTTGGGCTCCAGTGTTATAAAGCATCTTAGAGTACTCCTCTGTGCTACAAAGGAGGGCATTCAGCCTCCTAATCTGTAACAAAGTCCTCTTTTTTTTCTATCTAGTCGTCAGCTTCAGTAGATGGGGGACTTGGATGGAAAACTATGTCGCTTTCCTTACAGCAGGGAGCATAGAACAAATATAGCATCTGTAAGTTTCAAAAGGTAAAAGGAAAATACATCCTTAGGACTTTCCTGTGTTCCCCAGCAGTGGCTGTAGAAATAGCCCTGCAGTTCCAAACACACAGACAAATATAAACACCCAAAGAAATACTCTGTCTACCACCATGGCTACGTACTTCCAGTCATCTTCAACCTGAAAGGCAAACAAAAAGTCAAAACAATTAAAAAAAAAAAAAGGGAAACCATAGGGGATGTGTTTTGTCTCATAAATAAGCTGCTTTCTTTTCAAAGAAGACTTCCCTGGCAATTTTTAAAGCAAACATAATTTTATCGTGGTTAACTTGTGTTTCCTATATAGTTCACAGAACTTTTGTCTGAAGAGAGTGGATGCACATGCCCCTCTAGTGCCTCGTGCAGATGGCTACAGAGTTAGCAGGATCACCCAGAGCACAAAGGACTTTTCCTGCAAAAAGCATTCCCAAGAAAACCACTCGGATAGCTCAGTTTTTGCCATTGGCACCACTGGATATTCTGACCCCTTGGCAAGTCTGGGAAATGGGTTTGAGACAGGGGTGCAGGATGGGAGAAATGATGGAGGGCCCTCTTATCAGGAATAGGCAGCTCTCTTGCCCTCAAAGTCATGCTAGCTATGGAGAATTCATTGCTTTTCTCATGTCCTTCCAGTTTCTAACCTCCAAATTCTTATGCCTCCAATTTATGCCTGAGACTTAGTCTCAGGTTGTGTCTGAGGGCCCTACCAGATGATGTTTAAGACAACAATAACCCCTTGATTTTATGAAGGTGTCACCATGATGCATTCCCCCACCCCCTGCCTTGTGACTCACAGTCACAGTATCCTCCCCTGCACCAATAGAGCAGACTTCAGGTCTCAAGACATCCTTTCACTAGGAGATATGAATGCCGACAACTGCAGTATGAGGTCGAACCCTGACACCTGGCACAAATTTTCAGATGCCCGAAGCTAGTCATCCTTATGCTATGGAAAACTGGCATGATTTTCTTGAGGTTTCTCTTTGGAGAATGGGGGAGGTCCATGCTGCTATCATTAGACTCTGGGCAACAAAAGCAGAATATGTTGATGCTAAAAATATCCCTGAGGCTCCTTCAATCTACACCTAGATCCCTCTCCAGTAGAATAAGTGGGATTGGAATTGCAGAAGACTCACTCCCCTCTCCCAGCACTCTCAGGCTGCAGGCTGCTGTGCAGTTGGTTCTCCTGCCCTGGAGGCAGATCTTCCCATTCACCCTTCCTCCCTCTGCCACTGTTCTTAAGAAAGAGTTTCATTAACCAAGGTTGTCCTGAATGTTTATTTTAACCAGATTTCACTGGAGTTAACATTTCAAGAGGTGGAGTTTTGTTCTGAAACTATGGTTTTTCCTAACCAACCCCTAGGCCACTTCACCCATAACTGCTTAATAACTGAGTGTCAGTAATGCTCCCTGTTCCTCTTGTAAACAGAAGTCACACTGAAGATCTGACCTGGCCTACAAGTGCCTCTAAGCCCACTCTAGGTGGACAGGCTGGAGGAGCCATGTACCTACCTCCTTTGTTTCATTTTGGTTCTTCATGTTTTCTGCTATGAATTGAACACTATTAATTACATCTTCGACATCAGGCCAGTGCTCTGAATTTTCAGTCATCCATTGTAAAGACTGATGACTTAATCTTCTTTTGCTGGTGGCAAGCTCACCTGATTTATGACAGTGGCAGCATTCTTTAGGAAGTTTTGTCTCTCTATAATTATCAAAGTTGACTTTGGTGGGCCTACTGGAAATGCCTTTGGAGTTTTTATCAGAACTCGTCTTCCTCATCTTGTCCAGAGGCCTCCTCATCATCAGGATCTGGGGTAACAGCTGGAGGAAAACCGTCTTCACCCACTTGGGCATAGTGTGTGTTGCTGGGGTGCGATAATGTATGTTCAACACAAATACAGTCACCGCAATGGACAGGGTGACAAAAATCATGGTGAACAGTAGGTACTCACCCACCAGTGGGATCACAAGAGATGTGGATGGGATGGTTTCTGTGATTACCAGCAAAAACACAGTCAGAGAAAGCAAAACTGAGATACAAAGTGTCACCTTTTCACCACAATCAGAAGGAAGGTAAAAGACCAGCACAGTTAGAAATGAAATAAAGAGACAAGGGATGATGAGATTAATGGTATAAAACATTGGCAGTCTTCTAATGTAAAAAGAATAGGTTATATCTGTGTATATCTCCTCACAACAGTTGTATTTTATATCATGTTTGTAGCCAGAAGCATCAACAATTTCCCATTCACTGTTTTCCCAAAAATCATTCATGTCTACTTTAGATCCAATGATTAGAAGATCAATTTCAGCTTTGTCATAGGTCCAAGAACCAAATTTCAGGGAACAATTTTGATGATCAAAAGGGAAAAAAGTGATATCCATAGGACAGGAACTCTTGAAAATAGCCGGTGGAGTCCAGATTATCATGCCATCATATTTAAGAAGAGCTTTTGTCTTGCCTTCCACTTGAAAGTCACCAACAGCACTGCAAAGTAAACCAGACACCATTAGTAACACCCCTTTTGCTGTGGGTAGGCATGTACTGAAGGCAACTTTAGAAAGAGATTACTGTTGCCAGAAGCCCATACTTGTTGTAGAGGACAATGTCAGGCTTCCAGATTCTATCCGCAGGAACACGAAGAGTCTCAATGCCATCATATTCCATTGGGTTCCAGCGCAATTTATAGTCATTCCAGATCTAACGGCAAAAGTCAGTTGAATAAAGAATTTTAGTGACTTTATTCCAATATATTAATTCCATGTTGGTTTAGCAGGTTTTTTTGGAAAAAGTAAGTTCTTATTTAAAGAGTACATTGGAGGGGCACCTAGCTGGCTCAGTTGGTAGAGCATGTGACTCTCGATCTCAGGGTCATGAGTTCAAGCCCCACACTGGGCATGGAGCCTAGTTAAAAAAAAAAAAAAAACAGGGATCCCTGGGTGGCGCAGCGGTTTGGCGCCTGCCTTTGGCTCAGGGCGCGATCCTGGAGACCCGGGATCGAATCCCATATCGGGTTCCCGGTGCATGGAGCCTGCCTCTCCCTCTGCCTGTGTCTCTGCCTCTCTCTCTCTTTCTCTGTGACTATCATAAATAAATAAAAAAAAATTAAAAAAAAATTAAAAAAAAAAACAAAGAATACATTGGTTTCTATCAAAAGCTAGGAGATTAGGGATGCCTGGGTGGCTCAGCGGTTGAGCATCTGCCTTTGGCTCAGGGCATGATCCCAGGATCCCAGGACTGAGTCCCTCATCAGAGTCCCCACAGGGAGCCTGCTTCTCCCTCTGCCTGTGTCTCTGCCTCTCTCTGTGGGCCTCCCATGAATAAAGAAATAAAATCTTAAGAAAAAAGAAACTTAAAAAAAAAGGTTGGGAGGTTAAATCCATGGAGGATAGAGTGCTAGGAAAGAAACAAACAATCCAATCATGAAATGGGCAAAAGACATGAACAAGAATCTCACAGAGGAAGACATAGACATGGCCAACAAGCACATGAGAAAATGCTCTGCATCACTTGCCATCAGGGAAATACAAATCAAAACCACAATGAGATACCACCTCACACCAGTGAGAATGGGGAAAATTAACAAGGCAGGAAACCAAAAATGTTGGAGAGGATGCGGAGAAAAGAGAACCCTCTTACACTGTTGGTGGGAAAACTGTGTGGAGGTTCCTCAAAGAGTTAAAAGTAGATCTGCCCTACAACCCAGCAATTGCACTGCTGGGGATTTACCCCAAAGATACAGATGCAATGAAACGCTAGGACACCTGCACCCCGGTGTTTCTGGCAGCAATGTCCACAATAGCCAAACTGTGGAAGGAGCCTTGGTGTCCATCGAAAGATGAATGGATAAAGAAGATGTGGTTTATGTATACAATGGAATATTACTCAGCCATTAGAAATGACAAATACCCACCATTTCCTTCGACGTGGATGGAACTGGAGGGTATTATGCTGAGTGAAATAAGTCAATCGGAGAAGGACAAATATTATATGGTCTTATTCATTTGGGGAATATAAATAATAGTGAAAGGGAATAGAGGGGAAGGGAGAAGAAATGAGTAGGAAATATCAGAAAGGGAGACAGAACATGGAAGTCCCCTAACTCTGGGAAACAAACTAGGGGTGGTGGAATGGGAGGAGGGCGGGGGGTGGGGGTGACTGGTTGGCGGGCACTGAGGGGGGCACTTGACGGGATGAGCACTGGGTGTTATTCTGTATGTTGGCAAATTGAACACCAATAAAAAATAAATTTATTATAAAAAAAAGGATAGGGTGCTAGGTAGCTGAGCTGATTTTGGCAAATATGACTTAAATAATTAGCTATTGATTACTAGCTGGCTAAGGTTATAAATTCAACTTCTGTGTTCCACAGACTATATTCACTCTGGAGTAGCAACTCATTTCTAATATTAAAAAAATAGTTCAAGTGTACCATGATGAATTTGTTACAAAGTCTGCATAAAAGATTAAGACAAGAAGGAAAAATGAAATAGTATAACTGATAAAACGAGCTGGTGGGAATCTAACCCACAAGCTCTCATAGTCAGTTCCTGACTTCCCTCTGGTGCAGCAGGATCAAAGAGCTGGCAAGCATCTGACTCTGGGGCTCAAGTTACAGATATAAATAGGAGACCTGAGGCAGAAACCAGAAGGGACAGGTCTCTATGTCCCAGAGGACTTTATCACTACGTTTCAGCACCTGTGCTGTGTTTCAGCACATCAAGAAGCTGTTACAGAGCTGAACTTTAGGCTTTGGAAACAGATAGATAGTATTTTATGCTCCATCATAAGCTAGAGATGGAAAGAGGGAATATTAGTGGAATTTATCCAGTAGACATTGTTAGCCTGGCACATGAGTAAGATAGGTCCAAGGGAAGGACACATAATGCAGACACATACGTGACGTAGCCACAGATTGGTTTCCATGATCTGGTTTACTTCATCCTGGAAAAAAGAAATAACATTTTTAGCCTTAAATGTACTTGCTAATAAAGGTGGATCTTAGAACAAGAATTACAATGGAAGAGAGCCAAATCTGAGTTATTCATACTAACGGAGGAAAACAAAACCTAAAAAGTCAACTTATAAAATGCAACCAGAAATATATTTTAACATCTTGTTCCAACCATGCTCACTTTGAAAGAAACTGTAGCTTAAAAACTGTCTTTCAAATCAGATTTAAGTCTCACGTCTTATGTGAAGCCTTTCTGATCTCCATAGCTCATAAGGTTTCTGATTCCATGAAAGGAGGAAGAGAAGGGACTGTGGGAAGAAGGGAGGGTTAGTACTGCAGATGGTGATAGCTATCAGAACCTGGTTCATTGTTTTTACCATCTTCCTCCCGGTCCTTGAAAACCTCCCTTCCTCAGCTGTGCTCAGCACTCTCCAGGCTCTGAGTGCTGAGCCCAACTGCCCCCTTGAAACGTGAGCCTCAGCTTACCATGTGGTTTCCACCTGGGACCTGCCACTCTGATGCACCACATCCCAATTCTCATTCAAGCCATACTGATTTCTTCAATCATTCATTACTCAAATATTTATTGAGTACTGTGTGCTCTATAAATGCCGGGAATTTAGACACATGAAGGTAGGGGATTTTTCCATCCTGTTTACTGCTAAACTATTAATTGGGGAGACAAAAACTCAATAATAGATATATAATATAATGTATGACAGTTATAAGTCCTATGATGAAAAATAAAGAGGGATAGAGGGGTGTGTTTGTGCATACATACACACATGCACATGCACACACACAACCACACACATCTGTTTGAGACAGAATGATCAAAGAAGGCTTCTCTGAGGAGATAGATTAAACAAGTTCCTAAATGGCCTGAAGACAGTCATGGAGCTATCTGGAATAAAACATTTCAGGCCAATATACCAAATATAATATGCTCCTAAGCAACTACCAGGCTTCAGTGGGAAAACTACTGAAGACATATCCAGAACCTTCAGCAAGCTTACAACACAACTGCTTGGATATTAGGTATTGGGTATTCCCAGTGGCCAGCAGTGGGTTCCCAAAACTTACCAACCAGGGTGCCCAGGTGGCTCAGTCGGTTAAGTGTCTGCCTTCAGCTCAGGTCATGATCTCAGAGTCCTAGCCTGGGATTGAGGCCCCCATTCCCCCACACTGACAACCTCCCTGCTAAGCAGGGAGTCTGCTTCTCCCTCTCCCTCTCCCCTTCCCCATCGCTTGTGCACACTCTCTCTCTCCCTTCTCTCTTTCTAAAATAAATAAATAAAATCTTTAAAAAAAAAAAACAACTTACCAACCTTGCTTTACAAGACACATGGACACCTTTCATGTCAAATGAATTCAACTGTGGTTGACAGAATTGTAGCCAGGACTCAGACATTAACCTGCTCTTTTTCACTGAGCTGTTCTGTTGTTCTCTACTCCCCCTGCCAAGTTTCCTCCTTCGAATGGGTTTGCGTCAAATAATGGTAAGCTTCAGTGTTTTAAAAGGTCAACAAAAAGAGTTACATTTATGGTTTCCTATTAGCCAGGAAAAGAAAAAAAAAAAAGGAGTAGAGAGCTATACTTATCCATTGGCCAAGCAGTCCATGGCTGGTGCCTTCTGCTCATGAGAAGGTCATGTTGTGACCTATGGATTCCATCTAGTAGAGGCCATGTCAATAAACCATTGGCTGTCAATCAAAAATGGACTAACTATGCAATCCAGAAAGGCCTCAGGGGTAAATATCATAAGCATCTTCCAAAGACTGCATTACCTCTATATACTAGTATACTGTGTTTACAGAACTAGTGTATACTGTGAACTAGTGCATCATGTTCAAATAGTTAAAATCTGTTGGCAATATTATCCTGACAATATCCCTATCTTTCACCAAAACTTCTATAGGCTAGTAAAGCTCAATGTGGTGTGGACATCTTCAGGGGCGTCAGCCAACTTTCTTATGAATGAGGACTTTTTCTGGCAAGTCTTGTTCTCCATCCAATTCCATACCACACTGATGGTCATGGGCAGTATCATCAGATAGCCCAGCTGAAAGAGGCCAGAGATCCACAATACCATTCATGTTGCTGGGACCATTGCCCTATATCTCTTTCTTGGGAAAATAAATTAGTTGGCACCCTGCCTGAATTAAAGGATTGTAACCAATTTCAAACTGATTAGGCTCTGAGCAGCAGAGATTGAGATCAGAAAAGCCAGGTGGACTACACTTTCAAGGCCTTAAGTTTGTCATTTCAGATATGTGAGGCCATCGAAACACTAGGGGCTTTGTCTTGGATCTCTGTTGGGAGCACAGCAGGAGTACTCTTACACTGAAAGATCATCTATCCAGAAAACTTTGTGGCCAGTATCATTCTGTATGGCAACAAATACACTTCCATACAGAGGAGCAAAAGGCCTAGAGACTTTGAGAAGGAAGTTGATGATTGTGTGTCCTTGTTGTACTGCATCACAGAGCTATTCCCAGGGCTCACCGTGGCCCAATGACAACAATGTATATGGTCCACAGGGGCTTCCGGTGCCCCAAATGAGACCAGGTAGCTTATAATACACCAATAAGAATGGCTACATTAATGTCTGACAAAGTAGACTTCAGAAAAAAATGATTACTATGGACAAAGAAAGACATTACATAGTGCTTGAAGGATAAATTCACCAGGAAGGCATATGATCCTAATTGTATACACACCAAACAATGAAACAAAAATTGGTAAAGCTGAAAGAAGGAATAAATCCCTAATTATAGCTGAAGACTTCAACACTTCCTCTCTCAGCAACCTATAGAATACTAGACAGAAAATTGGCAAAAATATAGATCTGAAGAATACAGTCAATCAACAGTACCCAACTGACATATATAGAATCAAAAGAGCAGAATACATATATTTTTCAAGTATGTGTGGAATATTAACAAGATAAATCATATTTTTCATTTTTATTTTTTTTTAAAGATTTTATTTATTCATTCATAGAGACACACAGAGAGAGGCAGAGACACAGGCAGAGGGAGAAGCAGGCTCCATGCAGGTAGCCCGACACAGGACTCGATCCTGGGTCCCCAGTATCACACGCCAGCTGTAGGCGGCACTAAACCGCTACGCCACCAGAGCTGCCCATATTTTTTAAAAGATTTTATCTATTTATCCATGAGTGACGCACAGAGAGAGAGAGAGAGAGAGAGAGAGGCAGAGACACAGACAGAAGGAGAAGCAGGCCTCATGAGGGGAGCCAGACGTGGGACTTGATCCCAGGACCCCAGGATCATGCCCTGGACCGAAGGCGGCGCTAGACTGCTGAGCCACCCGGGCTGCCCGATAAATCATATTTTTATCATGGGCCATAAAATAAACCTCATAAACTTAAAAGAATTGAAATCATACAGTGTGTTTTCTGACTATAATGGAATCAAACTAGAAATCAATAACAAAAAGACAACAGGAAAATCTCTAAACCCACAGGAATTAAACAATAGACTTCTAAATAATACATAGGTCAAAGAGGATGTCTCAAAGGAGGGTTTTTTTTTTTAAGATTTTATTATTTTTATTTCTTTATTTGAGAGAGAGAGTGTGTGTACCACCGTGTGAGTAAGGGAAAGTGCAGAGGGAGAAGAAGAAAGAGAATCCCCAGCAGACTCCACAGCGAGCATGGAGCCCTGGGCAGAGCTTGATCTTATGACCCTGAGATCATGACTTAAGCCAAAATCAAGAGGCAGACACTTGGGGCGTCTGCCTTTAGCTCAGGTCATGATCCCGAGATCCTGGGATCAAGTCCCACATCAGGCTCCCCAGAAGGATCCTGCTTCTCTCTCTGCCTATGTCTCTGCCTTTCTCTCTGTGTCTCTCATGAATAAAAAAAATACATATTAAGAAAATCAGACACTTAACCGAGTTACCCAGGTGCCTCTCAAATGATATTTTTAAAAATACATAGAACAGAATGAAAATGAAAATACAACATACCAAAACATGAAGGACATAGCTTAGAACAGTGCTGAAAATAAAATTATAGCATGATATGCTTACACTAGAAATAAGGCCTCAAATCAATAATCCAAGTTTCTACTTCAAGAAATTAGAAAAAGAAGCACAAAATAAACCCCAAGCAAGCTTAAGGAAAGAAAAAAAAAGATAAGAGTAGAAAATTTGGGATACCTGGCTGACTCAGTCATTGAAACATGAAAGTCTTGATGTAGAGAATAAATAAGTAAACAAACAAACAAACTTTTTTTAACAAGAGTAGATATCAAAATTAAAAAGGAAAACAAAAGGCTGAGTCTTTGGAGGAGAAACAACAAAATTGAGGAATTTGTAGCAAGATTGACAAAAATAAAAACAGAGAAGACACAACTCACCAACATCAAGAATAAAACAGGAGCTATCACTTCAGATCCTATAGCCATTACAAAGAATAGACAATACTATAAACAATTTTATCATACACTCAATAATTTCTAAAAAGTGGACTAAAACCTCAAAAGCCACAAACTATCCAAATTCAAAGAAGTTGAAATTGACAGTCTGAATAGTCTATGGCCATTTTTAAAAATTGAATTTATAGTTAAAAACCTCTGGAAAAGAAGTATCTAGACCTAGTAAGTTTCCCTGGAGAATTCTACCAACCAGGTAAAGAACTAATATTAATTTTACACAATCTTTTCCAGAATGTAGAAGAGGATGGAACAATTCTAAACATTTTTTATGAAGTATTATCCAAACACAAAACCCAAAGACAGTACAAAAAAAGAAAATTACAGATCAATATCTGTCACAAACCCATCAATAAAGTATTAGCAAACTGATTCTAACAATATATAAAAAGTAATACACCAGGACACCTGGGTGGCTCAGTGGTTGACCGTCTGCCTTCGGCTCCCTGTGTGATCCCAGGGTCCTGAGATCAAGTCCCACATCTGGCTCCTTGCATGGAGCCTCCTTCTCCCTCAGCCTCTGTCTCTGTCTCTACCTCTCTCTCTGTGTCTCTCATGAATAAATAAATAAAATCTTTTTTAAAAAGTTATATACCATGACTAAATGAGATGTAAGGCTGGTTCAACACTCAAAAATCAATCAATGTAAGTTACCATATCAACAAGGTAGAGAAACCAAAATTAAAAGCACATTATTTTCAATTGCTTCAAATAAAACAAAATACTTACATATGTACACAATAATACATGAATAGGATCTGTGTACTGAAAATTACAAAATGCTGATTAAAAAAAGGGCTAAATGGAGAAATATCTTGCATTCACGGGTTGGAAGACTCAACAAAGTTAAATATGCCACTTCTCCCCAAATTAATTTATAGATGTGGTACAATTCCTTTCAAAATCCCAGCAAAGCTTTTTGTATACATAGGCAGCTTATTCTATAAGGCTTAGGCCCTAGAATAGCTAATATAATTTTGACAATGAAGAATAAGGTGGCAGGAATCACTTTGACCAATATTAAGACTTACTGGGTGCCTGAGTGACTCAGCCATTAAGCATCTTCCATCAGCTCAGGTCATGATCCTAGAGTCCAGGAATCGAGACCCCACATCAGGCTCCCTGCTCAGCGGGGAGTCTGCTTCTCCCTCTCCTCCTGTCCCCACCCCCACTCCTGCATGTGTGCTCTCTTTCTCTTTCTCTCAAATAAATAATTAAAATATTTTAACTAAAAAACAAGACTTACTATACAGTTACAGTAATCAAGACTGTGTGGTATTGGTGGAGGGTTAGTCATATAGATTAATGGAATGGAATAGAGGACCCTGAAATAGATCCATACAAATATGCTCAACTGATTTTTCACAGAGGTACACAAGCAACTTAATGGAAAAAGGATAGCCTTTTCAACAAATGACACTGGAGCAACTAGACACCACAGACCAAAAAGAGAGAGAGAGAGAGAGAGAGAGAGACCAAGCCTCGCATTTTTTTTTTTAAAGACTTAATTTATTTATTCATGAAAGAAATCAGAAAGAGAGGCAGAGACACAGGCAGAGACAGGCTCCATGCAGGGAGCCCAGTTTGGGACTTGATCCAGGCAACCCTGGGATCACGCCCTGAGCCAAAGGCAGATGCTCAATCACTGAGCCACCCAGGCATCCCTAAGCCTCAGATTTTATACAAAAATTAAAAATTAACTCAAAATGGATCACAGTCTTAAAAAAATAGAGCTTTAAGAAAAAAAATAAAAGAAAATCTCTGGGATCTGCTTAACACCAAAAGCACAACACATAAAAGGAAAAATTTATAAACTGGACCTCATCAAAATGGAAAAGTTTGAGTGAAAGCCCACATGAAAAAGATGAAAAAGAAGCTACAAACTAGGGTAAAATACAACTGACCCTTGAATACACAGGTTTGAACTGTGCAGATCCACTTATATAGAGAATTTTTATAGCACTGTGCTATAAATGTATTTTCTCTTTCTTATGATTTTCTTAATAACGTTTTATTTTCTCTTACTCTATTATAAGAATACAGAATATAACACCCATAATATACAAAATACATGTTAATCAAGTGTCTATGTTATCAGTAAAGCTTCAGGTCAACAGTAGACTACTAGTAGTTAGATTTTGGGAAGTCAAAAGTTATATGAAGAATTTTGACTGTGCTAGGGGCTAGTGCCCCTAACCCCTGCATTATTTAAAGGGCAACTGTATTTACAAACCACATATCTGGCAAAGCATTAGTATCTAGAATATAGCAAGAACTGTCAACACTGGACAGTTAAAAAAAAATCAAACTATCCAATCAGAAAATGGGCAAAAACCCATGAACAAATATTTCACCAAAGAGCATATACAGATGGCAAATAAGCACATGAAAAGATCGTCTATGTCATTAGTCATTAGGAAAATGCATATTAAAACTGCAATGAGATATCATTGTATACCTATTAGAATGCCTAAAATAAAAAAAATAGTGACAACACCAAATATTGATGAAGATGCAAATAAACTGGATCACTTATATATTGCTAGCAGGAATGTAAAAGGATAGATTCACTCTGGAAAGCATCCTGGCAATTTCTTTAAAAAACTAAACATGCAACTACCATATAGCCCAGCAATTGCACACCTGGAGATTTATCCCAGAGAAATGAAGATTTATGCTCACACAAAAGCCTATACCCAAATGTTCATAGCACTTTTATTTGTAATAGAATAAAACTGGAATCAACCCAAATGTTCTTTAACCACCGAAAAGTGAAATAAACTGCAGTGCCTAAATACCACACAGCACCAAGAAGAAATGAACTATTGATACAGTCAACAACTGGGATGAGTTTCCAGAAAAACCAATCCCACAAGATTACATACTTTATGATTCCATTTTTATATAACTTTCTTGAAATGACAAAAATTTTAAAATAGAAGACATATTAGTGGTTGCCACTGGGAAAACTAGGCAAAGTGTACAAAGGATCTTTCTATTATTTCTTTTTTTTTAAGATTTTATTTATTTATTCATAGAGACACACAGAGAGAGAGGCAGAGGCACAGGCAGAGGGAGAAGCAGGCTCCATGCAGGGAGCCTGACGTGGGACTCGGTCCTGGGTCTCCAGGATCAGGCCCTGGGCTGCAGGTGGTGCTAAACCGCTGTGCAACCGGGGCTGCCCAGGATCTTTCTATTATTTCTTACAATTGCATTTGAACCTACAGTTATTTCAGTAAATAAAAATTCAAGTCTTCCTTACATTTCCCAAGTCTCCCTTACAGCTAGAGGTTGTCAGTGAACCAGGAAGCAGAGGATGTTAGTAGGGTTAGTAGGACTTCTAGGAAAACCCCTCAGGAAGTCACAGATGTCTGTTACATGTCCTTCTCCCTTCCTCCTGCTTATCATCAAGGATGTGAATATGATGAGTGAAAATCAGCAGTTATCTTGGACCACTTTGGCAACACTGAGGGAAGAAAGCACATGGTGATATAGAAAGATGGAACCTTGCTCACTGTCACCAATGTATGGTTTATGCTTTAAGCATCACGGTCAATGTGATTGGCATCCCCTGAATGTTGTGCAGTGCCTAACCTGAGCAACTGAATACAGTGGAGCAATCACTAACACCATGAAGCCACCTGGTATTAATCTCCTAAACTGTTAACCTTTACATTTCTATTACATAAGAAAGAAATAAACTTGTTTTATTTAAGCCATATTTTTTAAAAATCTCTGATAGTAGCCACATGCAAATGTCAAAATCTGTATGCTGCCATCCCCACCACCATCCTCAGAACAATGTCCTGGAAAGAAATATCAACCAAGGATTTGAAGTGATGTTGTACAGTGAAATAGAAATAGTGAAATAGTGAATAGTGAAAATTAGAACAATCCAACCACAGCAAACTATAGCTTCCAGCCAGGTAGGAAGCCAGTAACCATTCAACACTATTTGGGGGTAGAAAGGACCAGAACAGGTACCAAATAAATATTTTTTAAAGAATGAGTAGGCCCATCTAAGCAAAATAAAATGTGTTTTTTTTTTTTTAACCAGTATATACTGGTATATACATACTTCCAGTTTGGGCCAGAAGCCAGAGAACCAGGCCAGGGGTCAGTCTCATCCACTAGGAAGCATGGACTGGAGAAACATCATGGGCCCTGACTTCACATCTGTAATTAAGATCTTTCCCCAGTGAACCCTGAAAGCCACCACTGTTTCCTAAGGGGCAAAGTCTAGGAGAACAGAGAATTCCTTCCTTATCCATAGGCTGGGACTGATGAAAGGGGCTCTCTTTGCTGTGCACTGTTGTCTCAGGAGGTCTAGCTTTAGCCTTCCCCTATACTTCCTGAGCCTACCTATTCCTGGCATTTGGTCCGCAGGCCAGTTCTGCTCCCTCCTATGCCTTGGAGCCCAGAACCCTGCTCTATGTTATAATACCAGGTCCCACTACCTCCTCTCTGAGCAATTAGGACATGAAGGTTATTCAAAGGATTTATACTGCAGTCCTCCTTGCTCTTGAACATAGCAAGAAATTCAAATTCCCGCCTGTTTTCTCACACTGGATGGAACTATATGAAAGAAGGTGATTTTCTTTTTCTTTCTTGCATAATGTAGAAGACTTAAAGCCATTCTTTTTCTATGGAGTAAAAAGAACATGAACTTTGGAGTCAGACAGGCTCAATTAAAATCGCAGTTCCACCATGTTATAGTTGTACTACCTAAGGAAGGTCACTTAACTGAGCTTCCCTCCAGCTATAAAATGCAGATGACAGCCACTAAGTGTAGACAAAGTGACTGGTGCAATGGAATTAGCTCCCTTTGTATTCTCCCTTCAACTTCCCCTTTGCCTCTTTGTTTCCTAAACTGGCTCTGGAAGCACTTCCAGAGAGACACTGCCTTGATGTAAGTAACTTTAACATTAGTGGTAAAGTGTCTTCTTCCCAACAGGAGGACTTCAAAGGGCCAGCACCCATGTAGATGTGCGTTTGTTCGTATTTTCAAAATTTCTATATTTACCATGTGCAACAACTGGGACAGTGTTTGAGAATTGCTCTGCAACCCCCACTGCTCTCTGCAGAGTCAGGGTTCCTCCAGGAACATGTGAACTGACGGCACTTACCACATTAGCCAGTTGTGTGATGGCCACTTCAAAATGCACTGTGACGGGATCAGAAACATTTTCTACAGGCCTGATGAACTGGTTATAATGAGAAAACAGCTTGTGAAAGAGCCTCTCTTCAGATGCACAGCCTGCAGAGCCTGCATGGCCAAACAGAGGAAAGAGTTAGAGAAGCAGAGAGAGTGCTCACAGGGGTGGGGAAGGTTCTGGCAGCTTCCATCACCAAGTGACATGAGCAGTGGGGTGTCCAAGTGAGCACTCCTGGCCTGCGTTCTGTCCACCCACACGGACTTCCCCTGGTGCCCGTTGTATCTGCCTCTCAGGGCCTCAGTTGGTTACCTTTGCCCTGAAGATAAAAAGGGTAAAATGCCTATGTCCCATAACTATTGTGATAGCAAATAAAATAATATTGGCAAGAGCACTCGTAAAAGTCTAATACACCGCGAATATAAAGGGATAGCATGAAATCCAATTCTTGCTTACGTCACTGAGGATGACGATCTTACTGATCTGGTTATTATGGAAAAGTCCTGCCCTTTCTTGTCAAAATACTGATTCAACTACCTGTTTCTACAACAGTGAGGTATTTAGCTAGGGAAGCTTCTCCAAGCATATTGAAATAACTAGTAATTGTATTAAGATCTTAACAAGCCATAATCCTTTTTAAAATCAGCTTTGAGTTCAATTATTCTGGAGATTTGTGTAAGTGCAAAGTTTTTAGGGCAAACAAATAGTTTCAAAAGAATTCAAATTTAGTCCTTAAATAATAGCATTTTAGTCACTAAATTTTAGATAGTTTAATGTGTATGTCTGTATTCTTCCAAGAATGCATCAAAAGGAGGTTACTTGCCTTCATTTGACATAATTCATTTCATTCATACCCCTCTGTATCCCTTACAGAAGCCAAATTTGACATCTGAAGTACTATTTTACAAATTTCCCAGAGGGATTAGAAATCCCTCTGAAAGAAAGAAAATTAAAGGGACTGAAAATTCAGCAAAAATGAACAAAAGGATAGCTGTTGTATCACTAAATAGTCATTTGACAAATGGACTTGGAAACACTGAAACTCTGAGATTCCAGCAGGGAAGAACAATTTTAAATGTAAAATAGCACTCTTAAAAAATAAATAAATTAAATAAATAAATAAATAAATAAATAAATAAATAAATAAATAAAATAGCACTCTTGTTACCATAATCAATAAGGGTAGCAATATTTCTACATAAAACAGACAATAAACAATTCTCTCCATTACCCCATTATCCATTCTCCCCACCCCAGACAGCATGGGTAAAGCCTCCATCAGTCTTGAAGAGCAAACCCCTGCAAAGCCAAAAGCACGTGGAAATGTGGTTTTCTTCAGCAGAATAGCAGCTAGCTGTTTCCAAGTCTTAACTTTTAAAATGAGTGATCTTACTCTTAGGATCCATTCCAGCATAGTAATATGACATGCTTCCCAAAACAATGATGATTACCTTCAAAATGGAAGGGTTCATGGAGTAAGTAATAGTATCAGCTAACAAATAAATCACAGCTTTAAAAAGATATATTCAATACAAATACAAGTAAGTCAGCTAAATATATCCAGAGAAGGTATGGATAGAAAACTGCATCATTATTATCACCACCAGTTTTTTAGTGGGACAATAAAATATGGTTTACAGTGTTTCATCGTCCTCTCCACCCCACCCCCTAAATCTCATGTTACATGTTAAACTTCCCCAGTAAGAAATAGATTAATTAGCAGTTATAACCGTAGTAATCCCTCTGCAGACCCTTAGACATAGGGCATTTCACCTGTGCTCAGTCGAACACAACTAGAAAAGTAAACACATGTAGCCAAAAAGAGAATATGAGAAAAAAAACAGAAATAAGACCTACCTTTCAAGCAAGGAATGAATATACACGAGCAGAGGCACAGACCAAAGTGAAGGAATCCCTGGCCCTTGCTGGTCAGCATGATTAAAACACACTTTGATTCCTTTATAGTCAAAGGATTGTGGATAACAAAGACCTATCAGACAGCCACATGCATCAGACCTTTAAATCATTAGAGTCCCACTGCAGTCCATGTGTGTCTTCTGTGAAATAAAAACATTCACAAACCTAACACTGATGTTCCCAATATCATAAAGTGGGGCTCACACAAGGCCAAATAAAAAGGATTCAATCTGATGTCAGATGAGTCATCACTTTGCTGTCACCCTAGATCTCTTTTTGTGTAAGAACAGTGAAGGAAAGCGCCGAGGAAACGGTAGGCAGGCAGAATGGAAAACATTGCCTGGCTTAGATCTTTCTGTAGCACAGTTTGGGCAGTAATTCTTGGGGGAGAAACACTCGTTTACTGAGCCCCAAGTACAGGCACAGCATGTGCTAGGGTCCCAGGCAGTGTATTCTGATTCACCGAATTCTCTGGTTAATCAAGGCCATCCTTGTTACTAAAAAAACTTACTAAAATAGGAGTCTCCTGTCTTAATAAGCGTGGCTTAGAGCAGGATTCATCTGATTTTGACTCCAGGGCTTTTAGTGTTTTGTCTTTCTGAGTTCAGGAATCACCATCCAGGACTAGAGATTAGGTATCTGAGAACCAGAGGGATGAGTATGGAACACAGAATGCCACCTGGACAGCCCTATGTTTATTTCAACATCCTTGTCATCAACTGGTTTTCTTATAGGTTCCTTCTTGTCTCTATAAGTTTAGTGTCGATGGGGGGATCCCTGGGTGGCCCAGCGGTTTAGCGCCTGCCTTTGGCCCAGGGCGCGATCCTGGAGACCCGGGATTGAATCCCACGTCAGGCTCCCGGTGCATGGAGCCTGTGTCTCTGCCTCTCTCTCTCTCTGTGACTATCATAAAGAAATTAAAAAAAAAAAAAAGTTTAGTGTCGATGGGATTCTGATGAACTGGGCCTTCTGGTCAGATTTTGGTGTTGGTTAAAGAGGAGATAGGCCTACAACAAAAGGAAAAAGTGACCCCAGAATGAGAGAAAATATTTGCAACCACATGTCTGATAAGGGATTAATACTCAAAATATATAAGGAACTCCTAAAACTCAATATAAAAAAAATCCAATTAAAAAATGGGCAACGGGGGCACCTGGGTGGCTCAGAGGTTGAACATCTGCCTTAGGCCCAGCATGTGATCCCAGGGTCCTGGGATCGAGTCCCACATCAGGCTCCCTGGAGAGAGGAGCCTGCTTCTCCTTCTGCCTATGTCTCTGCCTCTCTCACTGTGTCTCTCATGAATAAATAAATAAAATATATTTTTTTTTCAGTTTAAAAAAGGAACTACCAGGAGCAGAGACCCACGATTTACTTGGCTCACACCTTCACAGCTACCAGAGTTGCCTCCGCCCCCAAAAGGAAGAGTAAGCGGAGCCAGTGAGAACTCTCTTCCTGATACATGTGCCGATTAAAGTCCTAGGCAGGCCTGAGGGTCACGTGGTGACACGTGAGACAAAACCAGCAATGTGTATCGTGGGAAACTCTTTGAGGCAAAGGGCAACATGAATTGCTGGGTGGCCAACATCACACTCACATATAGAGAAGGCCAAGTGGCACAGCTGGGGCAGGTATACATCCATGGCAGCAAGATCCGCTTTCTCATTTTGTCTGACATGCTGAAAAATGTGTCCATGTTAAAGAGCATAAAAAATAAAAACCAAGGCTCAGAAGCTGGCCGGGGAAAAGCTGCTATTCTGAAGCCCCAGTTGGCTGCAAGACATGGAATGGGGTATGGAAACATCTTATAGAAGAGAAGATAAATTTATCTGTTGAACAGACTTTTGTTATCTTTTCTTTTAGGTTATCTGGGTTCGGGAAGGTGTGCATGTTTGTACATGTTCTAGGTTTTCAATTGACATCTTTCTCTTTAGATCAGAGTAAACTAAAATATGGTGGTGGTGGTTAGCCTATTTTCTTGGAAAAAAATAAAGAAAGAATTACCATATTATCTAGCAATTCTACTTCTAGAAATAAATTCAAAGGAAATGAAATCAGTATTTCAGGGAGATATCTGATTTCTCTGTGATGGCAGCATTATTCACAATAATCACAGTATGGAAACAACCTAAGTGTCTGTCGATGGGTGAATGGACAAAGATATGATGTGTGTATGTGCATATTGTGTGGAATATTATTCAACCATGAGAAATCCTGCCACCTGGACAACATGGATGAACCTGAAGGACAGTGTGCTCAGTGAAATAAGCCAGACAGAGAAAGACAAATACTGTACAATCTCGTGAATGTATGAAATCTAAAAAAGTCAAACTCATAGAAACAGAGAGTAGGAGAGTGGATCCAGACTTTCAGTTATAAAATTAATCAGTTCTGGTGACTGATTAATCATACTACAGTGACTATAGTTAATATATACTTTAAATGTGCTAAGAGAAGGGCACTTGGCTGGCTCAGTTGGTAGAGCACGTAACTCTTGAGCTCAGGGTCATGAGTTCTAGCCCCACAGTGGGCATATAGTTTACTTAAATTTTTTTTTAATTAAAATTAAAAAAAAATTCTAGGTAAATAGATCTTAAGTGCTCTCACCAACACACATACACAAATGATTACCAAGTGAGGTGATGGATATGTTGATTAGCTTGACTGTAGTGTCATTTCACAATGCAAATGCATATCAAATCATCACACTGTAGACCTCAAATATATATAATTTTTATTTGTCAATTAGGCCTCCAGAAAGCTGGGGAAAAGAAGAAGAATGAGACTGGAAGATGATCCCTTGGGTCCTTCCCACCCAAACATTCTGTGACATTATCCCAAAGACAGTACACTTTGCAATTGTGCAGAGTTCAGACCAATGACTTTCCTCAAAATTCTATTAACCACATATCTCTTGAGGGAATGAAAAAGGAAGCAACATATAGAACCAAACTTAGACCAGACAAGTGCTGGCTGCCTGCCTGCTTTAGATATGTCATCTGAAGATGTTACTGAAGTGCTCCCCTTAGCAGATGGGCTTTTGTCCTTTGCTAGAATGTCCTGTGGAGTCTGGAGAGAATCTAAGGTGATAAAGAGAAAAGCCTGGACAACACTTTACCACGATGGATAAAATGCCAGGTCATATCCTGAAATGAGGCAATGCCTCACTCATTTTTGGAGTGAAACACAAATTGTTGGACCCTGGCTCACGGGTGCCAACGTGGCCCGGTGGACGCCCCAGAGACCCAGACCCCAGACAGGCAGATGCAATTAGCAAGAGGGTTTATTGAACGTTTGCGCAAACGGGCTCTCCGCCTCCGAGGAGGAAAAGAGCCCCGATTAGCAGTTACAGGTATCTTTTAAAAGGCAAAAGGAAAGAAACTTCCTAAAGACAAAAGAACCGCGGGAGTCGAATGGCATCCAGGTTGATTTTGGGGAGGGTCAACATGAACCTATTCAGGGACATTCCAATCAGGGTGTGTGTGGGGGGAAACGGTTTTCTTATTGTAAACAGAATGCTTTTAGTTGCTAAAATTTCAGGAAGAAGACTGGATGGGCTGCCTCTGGATTAGGGCTGGCCCTACTTACAAGGGGGGGAGGTTTCTTCAGTGACAGAGCTGGAGGAGGTTAAGTAACTTGTCCAACATCCTCCAAGTATCAGTACCAGAATCTAAATACAGGTCTGTTTTGTTGGACCCTGGCTCACGGGTGCCAACGTGGCCCGGTGGACGCCCCAGAGACTCAGACCCCAGACAGGCAGATGCAATTAGCAAGAGGGTTTATTGAACGTTTGCGCAAACGGGCTCTCCGCCTCCGAAGAGGAAAAGAGCCCCGATTAGCAATTACAGGGATTTTTTAAAAGGCAAAAGGAAAGAAACTGCCTAAAGACAAAGGAACCGCGGGAGTCGCGTAGCATCCAGGTTGATTTTGGGGAGGGTCAACATGAACCTATTCAGGGACATTCCAATCAGGGTGTGTGTGGGGGGGAATGGTTTTCTTATTGTAAACAGAATGCTTTTAGTTGCTAAAATTTCAGGAAGACGCCTGGATGGGCTGCCTCTGGATTAGGGCTGGCCCTACTTACAAGGGGGGAGGTTTCTTCAGTTTGACTCCAAAGTCCATATTCTTCCCTCTGCATTCTTGGTCTCCTGTGAGGCTCTTCTGTGACCTCCGCTTGTTAAATCCCCTATTCCTCCCATTCTGCACCTTGACTCCTGGGGACAGGCGGTGTGTTCCTGGAAGAAAGCAGAGCTGATTGGGACTCATTCCAGGAGATTGCTCTAGAGTGGTTCATTAAGGTGACAGGTGATGACTATAGAGGATTGATGGATAAAACAAAAGATGTGAAACAACAGTTTTCTTTTTTCTTTTTTAAAGGTTGATTTATTCATTTGAGAGAGAGAGAGAGAGAGCGTGAGGAGCAGCAGAGGGAGAAGGAGTAACAGGCTCCCCACTGAGCAGGGAGCCTGGTGCGGGACTGGATCCCAGGACCCGGGATCACAACCTGAGCTGAAGGCAGACGCTTAACCACTGAGCCACCCAGGCACCCTGGAACAACAGTTTTCTTGACAGACTGCAGCGTCCATCTGGTAGAAAGTGTGAAGAACAAATCATTTAAAGCCTGAGAAATAGAGTTGAGGGTGTTGGTGCTTTGGAAAACAGCCAACTTGATTTTGAAGAAACCTCCCCCCCCTTGTAAGTAGGGCCAGCCCTAATCCAGAGGCAGCCCATCCAGTCTTCTTCCTGAAATTTTAGCAACTAAAAGCATTCTGTTTACAATAAGAAAACCGTTTCCCCCCCCACACCCTGATTGGAATGTCCCTGAATAGGTTCATGTTGACCCTCCCCAAAATCAACCTGGATGCCATGCGACTCCCGCGGTTCTTTTGTCTTTAGGAAGTTTCTTTCCTTTTGCCTTTTAAAAGACACCTGGAATTGCTAATCGGGGCTCTTTTCCTCTTCGGAGGCGGAGAGCCCGTTTGCGCAAACGTTCAATAAACCCTCTTGCTAATTGCATCTGCC